TACCCAGTGAGTCTGAATGCTCTGGTAAGTTCCTCCTCTGTACTTTGGGTTGTTTGTGCCTCTTAGAGGAATGTCTCCACTGCTTTCCTTTTATGTGAACAGTGGGGCTCACGTGGCTGTGTTAAACACCTTTGGCAGTCAAGAGCATGGTGTTCTGCCAGGTTTACAGGGGCTCCCCTCCCAGACAGTGACCCAAATCAATGCTAAGTGTGTGCAGGTATCAGGACATATAACATTTGAATTGCTAAATGAATTTACTGCTAATAAAACTGTCTCTGGGAAGGGTGTCACTGGCCACTGCATTGTGCATCCTGTATCTTCTGCTCCACTTACAGACTCTAGAGTGTGAACAGTAGAATGGCAGGCGCTGGGGCAGAGATGGTGCTGGTGTGGAATTCACACAGTGGAATTTCACTTATGCAAGTGCTCAAGCACTTAGGAGAGGTCAGAATTAGTTCTTTCTCTGGTTAGAATTAGCCATTTCAGTGAGATGCCAACGTGTAAACTCTTTCACCAAATAAATTGATGTGCTCAGGGCAAGTGAAAGGAAGGGGTACCAAAGATTAGTGTTGGAGCATCAGAGCTGATGACATAAGCTTCTCTATTCAGGTTTATTCACTTGAGATGCATCTTAGGCACTTAGCACAGCAGCAGTAAGTTTGTAGAAGTAATACATACCTACTTATAAATATTAAAAACATATAACATGTAAATATAATTTGCGCCATAAAATCAACATCAGGCTTTTTTTGTTTGTTTTTTTGGTTGAGACAGAGCCTCAAACTATCCCCCTGGGTAAAGTGCTGTGGCATCACAGCTCACAGCAACCTCCAACTCCTGGGCTCAAGTGAGTCTCCTGCCTCAGCCTCCCAAGTAGCTGGGACCACAGGCGCCTGCCACAACACCTGGCTATTTTTTTGGTTGCAGCCATCATTGTTGTTTTTGGCGGGCCCTGGCTGGATTTGAACCCGCCACCTTAGGCGTATGTATCTGGCACCTTAGCCACTTGAGCTATAGGCACCAAACCATCAGGCTTGTTATTAATCATTCATTCAAAATACACTGAACAGCTACTGTGCTTAAGACAAAATAAGGGGCATGATAGCACGCAGCTGTCACCCCAGCTACTCTAGAAGCTGAGGTGGGAGGATCTCCTGAGTCCTCCTGGGCAACATAAGTGAGATCCAGCTCAAAAAATAAAATAAAATCACAAATCTAAAATAAAAAGTATCGCTCCTTCCTTTTCTTTTTTTTTGTTTCTTTCTTTTTTTTTTGAGACAGAGTCTCACTCAGTCACCCTGGGTAGAGTGTCGTGGTGTCATAGCTTATAGCAACCTCAAACTCCTGGGCTGAAGTGATCCTCTTGCCTCAGTCTCCTAAGTAGCTGGGACTACAGACACCCACCACAACACCTGGCTAGTTTTTCTAACTTTAGTAGAGACAGGTTCTCACTCTTCCTCAGTCTGATTGCAAACTCTTGAGCTAAGGCAATTTACCTGCTTCAGCCTCCCAGAGTGCTAGGATTTAGGTGTGAGGCACTGCGCTCCATGCAAAGTATGGTTTCAATCATTGTGAAGCTCTTGATCTAGTAGGTGAGTAGTATACAGAATCAAAAAAATTACAAATTCAGAGGAGTGCTATAGGGCCTAGTGTTTAACCACTTCTGGAATTAGACTGTATTCAAAGCTCTGCCACCATTTTTTTTTTTTTTTTGTGGTATAAACTGAGACAAGTTATTGGTATTTACTAAGTTTCAGTTTCTTCATATGTAAGGGCTTATGATAATAATACTTATAGGATTAAAAGAATCAGTGTATGTATAGCCTTTGCCCAATACCCATCCACCATGATCACTGAACTGTGTTAACTATTATTTTTTTAAATGTTAACTTATTTTTATAGTTTTTAAGGTAAACTTTACATTCATTGAATTGCTAACTGTGCATCTCTTGACAAATGAATACACTTGTATAACTCACATCCCTATTAAGTTAAAGACCATTTTTATCACCCAGAAATTTCTCTCATATACTTTCCCAGTCAGTCTTCTGTCAGAGATAACCACTGTTATGTTTCACCACAGATTAGTTTTGTTTTTCCTAGAATTTCAAATAAATGGAATCATACAGTGTGCACTCTTTTGTGTTATTTATCTCCAAGTAGGCAATGCATTTACATGTTTTAAAATGAAAAGGTACAATTTTCAATCTCTTGGGCATGCAGTAAAATGTCTCCTTCCAGAGTGCTTCAGCCCAGGAGTTTGAGGCTACAATAGGCTAAGATTGGGTCACTGCACTTTAGCCTGGGTGACAGAGTGAGATCTGACTCTTAAAAAGGGGGGGAGGGGCAGGAGAGGTGGCTCATGTCTAATCCTAGCACTCTGAGAGGCTGGAGTGGGTAGATTGCAGGAGTTCTAGACCAACCTGAGCCAGAGACCTGGTCCCTAAAAATAGCTGGGTGTGGTGGGCACCTGTAGTCTCAGCTACTCAGTAGGCTGAAGCCAGAGGATCACTTGAGTCCAAGGTTTGAGATTGCTGTGAGTTATGACACCAAGGCACTCTACCAAGGGTGACAGAGTGTGACTGTCTCAAAAAAAAAAAAAAAATGGTCGGTGCCTGTGGCTCAAGGAGTAGGGCACCTGCCCCATATACTGGGGGTGGCGGGTTCAAGCCCAGTCTCGGCCAAAACTGCAAAAAAAACAAAGAAAAATAAACAAGTAAAAGAAATAATTAAAACATGGCTCAGCGCCTGTGGCTCAAAAAATAATTAAAACAAAGTCTCCTTCCCACCCTGTCCCCCAATCACCCAGTTTTCCTCTCTTAAAGGAGCCAGTATTATTAGTTTTATGTGGGCCCATCCCATAGCTTATCATTATTAATTCAGGGATGTACACAAGGCTTTTTGAGAACTCAGTTTTAAAGTTTACTGAAAGAATTCTGTGAAAGCCCAGCTAAAACAATATAAAATCAGTTTTAAAAATAACTGAAGTTCTTTCTAGACTCTGATTTCAAATGTCAGACTGTGACATTTTGCCTTTCTTTCTTCTTTTTTTTTTTTTGTTGCAGTTGTCATTGTTGTTTAGCTGGCCTGGGCTGGGCTGGGTTTGAACCTGCCAGCCTCAGTGTATGTGACTGGCACCATAACCACTGTGCTACAGGCCTGAGCCACATTTTGCCTTTTTATGACTTAGGTAACATTTGTGCCACATTTACTTCAAGTTCTAACATTGCCATTCATTGAATAAACATGCATTAGACAAACAGAAATGTGACCATGAACCAAGCAAAACCATGTCCTGGCCTTACAGAGCTAACAGTCTAGTGGGGGAAGCAAAAATTCACCAAAGTAATCTTAGAATTTCAGTTTCATGCAATGTGATAGGAGTAAGGGACCACAGGGGAGGGAGGTCAGAAGGTGCTTCTCAGAGGTGGAGGCTAGAGCTGAGGTCAGGATGAGGGTTAGAAGTTCCCAGGCACAGGCATGAGCAAAAGCTCTGTAGAGGGAGAAAGCTGGTAATTAGGAGCGAAGAAAAGAGGCCAGTGTGGCTGGAGCATGGGGAGCAGGATGGAATGTGGTCTGAGTCATGACAGGAGATGCAGAGGTGGGCAAGGTACCCATGTACCTTGTAGGGCCTGATCATGTAGGGCCTGGTTAGTTAGCAGGTTTGTTTAAGAGAAGAGGAAGCTACCAAGAATTTTATGCTGTCACAAGGTCACAATGTATTTTGAAAAAGTCACTCTGCCTGTTGTGTTCAGATTAGAGAGGGGATGTGAGTAACCAATTAGAAGAAGTTAATACTAGTAGCCCTACCCCACCCTCCACGTGCAGGAAGCTCAGTCTGGTAGTGGTGGAGAAGATAGAAGAGGAAGATTCAAGGAAAGTTTGGTAGATAAAATTTGCTGATAGATGGAATATAGCAGGGAAAGGTAGGTTATCAAGGATGTTGTCAGTTGCAATGAAATTGATAATTGAAATTGACTTTAAATAATGGCATGACCTAAAGTTATGCAAAACTCTACCTAATAAAGTAGGTAGATTTTAATCTATCTAATAAAGTTTCAAATTTCTAACGTTTTTTAGCTGAGGGGAGAGCATGGCCTTACTTTCTATTTCTTAATGTTGAAAAAAATGGAGAGCTTTTCTTTTTCTGAAATGCTTATTATAGTGGAACTCCTGGGGATTCTATCTTATGAATTTAAATTAGAAAATAACCAGGGATATCTAATTTCTAGACAAATAATTTTGGAGTTTTTTCGTGCTGAATAATTATCATTTTTGTCAGTTCTAAATGTATAATTAAAGTAATCTATATTGCCTTTATTTATTTTGCCTTCTTTTCCTGGGATAGGACAAGAATTAATAGGCTGTTTGTGTCCCAAACTAAGTACTTTCCTTCTAAGAATTTTTTTGGTTGATGTTGGCTGGTTGCCCGCCTGAATCTCACGTTTTGTGCCCATGTTCTGCCCACTGCCAGACTTTCATAAACCCAGCTTGTCGAGGCACGGAAGTGTACTTGACAATCACCAATGCCATTTACACGCTGATTATTGCTTTGGAGCGTGACCTAAGGCCACCTCTAGCGGGGAGCTCCGGGCGGCCTTCGGAAGTCTCGGAAGCCCAGAAGACCGCGCGTGGGTGGCAGTGTGAGGCCGGCAGCTCCCAGCGCGGGGTCGTTTCGGGCCCCCGAGGGGGTGTGTCTTCTGCAGCCTTAACGTGGAAGGGGCGGTTCAAATGACTGGGGAAGTCAGCGCTTTGCAGGGCAGAGGGCTAGCGCTGAGAAAGAGAGGCGGAGGAGAGAGAAGCATTTCCCCGCCCCCGCTGCCTCAGTCCAATCCCTTCGGCTTCTCCTTTTCTCGGCCGGGGCGGCCGGCCCCTAACCTGCTCGAACCCATCATGCGGTAGAGGCGGCCGCGTCTCTTTAAGGCCCCGCCGCGCCTGCGCCTTGGGCTTTCCTGACGCTGCCGGGCCGGACCCAGTAGGAGCCGGCGGGCGGGCGGGCAGGCTAGGGGTTGGGCGGTGGTCGAGACTGCTGCGGTGCCCGGAGTGGTTGGCGAGGGTCTGGAGGTGACCCTGAACTCTGGAGCGAGTGCGGTGCTCCTGAGACCGCGGCAAGGGCGTCCCGCGGAGCCGGGAGCGGGGCCGAGGCGCTGAGACGCGGCGGCGCGGCTGCCGGCTGGATGGGAAGTTAATGTTTACGGCGAAGTCCACCCAACGTTTCCAAGGTGAGGGGCGCCGCGCGGGCCGGGGGCCGGGGGCCGGGGGCGGGTGGGCCGTGCGTCCGGGTTCTGCGGCGCGCAGGGCTGGGCCGAGGCGCGGCGGGCGGGGGTCGCGGCAAGTTTGGCGGCGTGAGTGGGGCGGCTGCTCCGGGACCTGCCGGGGCCTAAGTTCCCTGCGCTCGCCTTCTCGCCTGCCGCCGCCGCCGCCCGTACCCTCGTCCAGTGGGCGCCAGAGGAGAAACTGAAGTCGCAGCTGCGTCTTCCCTGGGAGTCCCAGAGCGGCGGAGGGACGGAGCAGCTGAGGGGCACGTCCTCGTGAATCCGGTGGGAGAGACTGACCCTGCACCCGCGCCCTCGAGGCCCGAAGTCTGTTCTGATGACCGAAGGGGAGAGAACGCTAGTGCCCCTTACTTGCAAAGTTGCGGTTTTTATTTGGTCTCCGGGCTTGTGCGTGTGGCCGTGTGCCCCGGCTAGTGATGGGCAAGCCAGGTGTGCCGGGTCAAGGATGCACTTAGGAGCGTTTGTAGCCTTCACTGAATCACCTTATGACTAGCGGGGCAAGCCTCAAATTAACCGCAGGATTTCCGGTAGGTTGGATCGTGGGGTTAGTGTTTGCTTTAGAAAGGCTGTGATTTCTCTCTGGCTTGCTTTCCGTGTTTTGGCGTCTTAGATCTTGTCAGTTGGCCTCCTTTCATCGAAAAGTTAACCAAAACTTTTGGAATGGTTCCCTCACTTTGCTTCTACCATTGTTTAAAAGTGGTTTTGAAAAGCAGTATTTTCTTGCAACGGTATCTTTTCTTTGGGTTACAGTGTTGAATAATAAACTCCTTTCTTTGCTGAAAGAATGAATTCTAGGACTTCATGAAGTTAAAGAAAAGTGATCTGTTGGAAGTTTTTATCTTTGTTCTGGGCTGGTAAGTGTTGGTAGCTTTCTTTTTGTTTTCTAATTTTGTTAGCCAACTTTCATTTGGTGTTCCAGAAGCTGTCTTTTTATCCTAAAATGCTAGCTAGCCCTAATTCTGGGAACTTCATGTCAAAGAAATCTTAGAAAACTTACTGAAACATAAAATACAGAAAAAAAAAGTCCACTATCCTAAATGTGCAGGTAATGAATTTTTACTAAGTGAACCACCACAGATCAAGAAATAGAACATTACAAGTTGGAATACGTATGTAGGGAGTGGAATTGTTGGCTTTTGAGGTATATGAATGATAAAACATTTCCTCACAGTGGTTCTACCAATTAGCAGGGAATGATATTCCAGTTATCCCACATCCTTGCTGATGTCTGAAGTTTAAAAAATGTTTGCTTGGTGGGGCCTTGTGGCTGGCACCTGTAGTCCCAGCTACTTGGGAGGCTGAGGGAAGAGAATGGCTTAAGCTCAAGAGTTTGAGGTTGCTGTGAGCTGTGACACTATGGCACTCTACTGAGGGTGACATAATGAGACTCTTAACTAAAAAAAAAAAAAGAAAAAGAAAACCATTTTTTTTGGCTATTCGTAGCTCTTAACATTTCCATCTAAATTTTACAATCTGCTTGTCAGTTTCCACAAATACTGGAAGTGAAATTGAATCTGTACATCAGTTTGAGTAGACTGACTTAACAATATTTAATCTTTTAATTTATGAACACGGTATATTTCTCCACTTCGGTCTTTCTCTTGGCAGTGTTTTGTAGTTTTCTGTGTTGATGTCTTATACATCTTTTGTTATTAATTTTTATTATTATTATTTTTTATTTATTTTTTCAAGACAGAGTTTCACTCTGTTAGCCAGGCTGGAGTGCTATTCCGTTACCTTAGCCCACGGCAAACTCGGAGTCCTGGGTTCAAGCCATCCTCCTGGTAGCTGGGACTATAGGCACCAAGGTCCAGCTAATTTTTCTATTCCCTCTTGCTCTGGATGGTCTCATCCTTTTGAGCTCCAGGGATCCTTCTACCCTGGCCTCCCAGAGTGCTAGGATTATAGGTGTGAGCCACCTTGCACAGCATTGTAACTGAAATTTTAAAATGGGAATGCCCCTGAATTTTTTTGCTGTGGGATTATTTTAAACTAATCTAAGACATCATTTCATCAATAGATTCTAAATCTTTATTCTTAGTTATGCTTTTTTTTTGTAGAGACAGAGTCTCACTTTATCACCGTTGGTAGAGTGCCATGGTGTCACACAGCTCATAGCTACCTCCAACTCCTGGGCTTACCCCATTCTCCTGCCTCAGCCTCCCAGGTAGCTGGGATCACAGGCATCTGCCACAATGCCTGGCTATTTTTTGTTGCAGTTTGGACGAGGCTGAGTTTGAACCTGCCACTCTTGGTATATGGGGCCGGCACCCTACCCACTGAGCCACAGGCACCACCCTAAATCTTTATTCTTCATTCACAACCTAGTCCAAATTACGCCTTCTGTGTTCTAGGATTTCAACTAAGTTTTGCATAGCATTTTTTTGGGGGGCATGGTGTCTGCAAATGTCTAGAACCAATTAAAGAATTATAGAGTGTTTAGTACATTGGCAGTCATTATTGTAGGTTCTTTGAATACAAAGATTAAGATGCTGTCCCTACCCTTAAGGAGCAGATAGTAGAAATTCAAGAAATCCAAGAAAAGACCAACCTCTTCCACTTAAGAGAAGCACGAATGATGGAGATTGGTTTGGTAGTATGCAAAAGGGGCATCTAAATCAAACTAGGAGAAGGGGGACTAGATACAGGCCTGGCTTCCAGTGTTCTGAGAGCTGGGCAAAGGAAGCAGGCTGTGTGGGTGGCAGCTGTTAACTAAACATACTTCTGTTTAATCTCTTGGCTTTCAGCCTGGAGCCTTACTCTACTGTTCCTGAGTCTGGAGTCTCTCCAGGTTAGTGATTCCAGAGGATAAATTTATGAGAGGATAGAGAGGGTGCTGGAGAAGGGAACCTAGAGAGTTGGCTGTACCTTGTTCCCTTGTCTTCAGTGTCGTGTTTGTGCACCGCTGACCCTATACCTGAGGACTCCTAGGGTTCTGTGAGTTAGCCACAGCAGCTTGCTTCTTGATCATATTCCTTCTGCAGGCTGGAGGGTTCTGCTTCCTCTCCTGCTCCAGGGTTCTGTGAGTTAGCCACAGCAGCTTGCTTCTTGATCATATTCCTTCTGCAGGCTGGAGGGTTCTGCTTCCTCTCCTCTGCTTTTATTCCTCCATCTTTTTCCTTACATGGATGCCGTCTCTTCTCTTGGCTATCCGAGAATGCTAAAGATAGTTTCTTTAAGCATTCTTTTCCTTACTTAGGTTACATTTTTTTCAGTTCATGAAGCTCTCCTCGGATGACTAGTAGGTAATCCTTGGTTTCTGTACATTACTTAGAGTGAGTAACTGAAAGCTGACTGGAACCCTGAGCTTCTAAGTAGGGACTTACTGACTTCCAGTTTTACCCTGTAATTTAGAGTCTAAAGCAGTGGTTCTCAACTTCAGCTGTACGTTATAGTCACATGGAAAGCTTATAAAAACATATCTGTGCTGCTGCTACACCAAGTACATCAGAATCTCTGGGAACAGGACCCAGGTAAAGTCGTATTTTTAAAAAATTCAGCTTAGGCTACATGCAATAAAATGCACAGAATTTAAAAGTATAGTTTGATAATTTTTACCATGTTAACTAACACAAGCATACAGAAGCATACAGAGCGTGTCTGAAATCCTAGAAAATTCCTTTGTATCCCTTTTTTATCTGACTCCCTGTGCAGAGGTGACCACCATTCTGGTTTTTTTTTTTTTTTTTGAGACAGAATCTCACTATGTCGCCCTTGGTAGAGTGCCGTCGCGTCACAGTTCATAGCAACCTCAGACTCTTGGGCTCAAGTGATTCTCTTGCCTCAGCCTCCCAGGTAGCTAGGACTACAGGTGCTTGCCACAGCGCCTAACTATTTTTTGGTTGCAGTTGTAATTGTTGTTTAGCAGGCCTGGGCTGGGCTTAAACCGCCATTTTTGGTGTATATGGCTGGTGCCCTACTTACAGAGCCGAGGACGCTGAGCCCACCATTCTGATTTTTATCCCTATAGATTAGCATTAGTATTCTTTTTTTTTTTTTTTTTTTTT